CTCCTTTCCTTGGGTTTGAGAAGAAGGAAGGCTCCCTAATTGTATGTGAAGTGCCTTCTTTGCATTTGCCTCTCTGTGCCTGGAGGATCCTCTCTAACCCTCTGGGATTTAGAATCCTTCCCCATGCCCACACACCAATAACCAAAGAATCATTGCTCTTTATCATCACCAAGTCACACCCTATGAAGTGCTCAAGGACAAAAACATCTTTGCAATGCCCAGGATTTCTTCCAGTTGTGGCCCTGGAGACAGACTGGCTGGTCCAGGGCATCCTGACTCTTTCCACTCTTTCCATACCTACTCCTGCCCAGGGCCTGGGACCCTGTCCCTGTCCCTTAGTGCTCAGGTCTCACAGAAGAACCAGATGAGTTCTTTGAGGAATATCTTACAGGGAGCCCCACAGAAAAGAGCAGAAACGTGAGGCAAGGGTGGACACAGGCCACAGGGCAATGGCCCTCCACAGTGCTTTGCAAGTCTCAGAAAACCACCTGGGGATGATGAGGAAACACCGTCTCAGCATCTCTTCTGCCTTGTCCTCATTCTTATCTCATATCTGGCTAATCTTTTACAAAGTCATGGCTTGAAAGAATCCAGTCAAGATTGCTTCTCTAGCAAGTCTCCCAGACTTTGATAGCTGTGGACTTATCTTTGTTTATTACTTATCTCATTTCATACAGAACAGCTAATTAAGCAGAAAGGTGAGTACAATTTCTTTACGTTTTGGAGGCAAACATACTGTGGAAAAATGTTTGATATATTAAAGTTATGTTACAATTAATTTAGACATAATAATCATCAATTATTTTAAAGTGTATTTATGTCATTTATCTGCTGAAATTATCATTGATAATATTATGAATTGTAGTCACACAGACATTTTAATTTTAAGATTATCACACTGAAGCATATTCACTGTGAATATCTCAGCTTATTAAATGATTTTATTTTTTTTAAGGCCACATAAAGCATAACCCTAATCCTAACCATAACCCTAAACCTGGATGCATATTCTTGGTTGGCCTTTTCTATGATTGTTTCTAGGTGAATACATCAACAACAAAATTCTGATTAATTTTCACCTTGATTTTTCTTGTGATTCAGTTTTCAATTTCTCCCTTAATATTATTTTGCTTTATTATTTTGGAAAATACTAACCAAATGTATCACAGAATCAACTCTGAAATTTTTTAAAGGCTTTTTCCTGATCTTATGTAATAAAATTAAAAAAAAAGAAAATATCTGAAACTATTGACCCATTTATCCATATTTTAATGATTTTTCTCACAATATATTTTAATTTAATTTTTTTATCTCTTTCAACCTTGTTATTTTTGGCTTTGTTGAGGTATCAGGACAAATAAAGCTTGCATATATTCCAGCTGTACAAGGTGGTGTATACCTATAGAGCTGTAGCTTTCCCTGCTATATCAACATGTCATGGCTAATGTTCTTCTCTGTTTCTCCACATGGTTTTGAGTTAAAGTCCATATTAGTCTAGGTGACTCAGTTCTTTCTTGGTTTCACTGGCATGAGACAGTTTCCATCACTTCACTTTGGGTGTATCTGTCCTTATGGGTGAAGTGACTTTCCTGTGGTTTGTGTACAGCTGCGACTTGTTTCCAATGCCTCCAGCCACTCTGTCTTCTAATGAGAGGATTCAACCCCCTTGCACTCAGGCAGTCAATGGCAACAGGGCTTGCTGCTGCCATGGGCCTGTTTTCTTACTGGTTTCTCACTTTTCTCCTCCTAGCATCTGTGATTAAATGATTTTCTCCCACAGTATCCTAACTCCTCACTGTTGGATTTTTGTGCATCTCTTAAAAGTTTTGCTTTGTGGTCCCTGTGAGGCTTACAGAAAACATAGTTTTAACAAACTATTTTAAGCAAACAGGAACTTAACTGACCACAAAGAAATGAACTGGGCAAAATGAAACTCAACATCTTAACTCCATTAACCAACACACCTCTTGAAAGTATATGTCACAATTTTTATCTTTTTATATTATGTGTCCCTTGACCATTTGCTGTGGCTATGCCCTTGCTTTTAATCTGTGTTTTGGCTTTGTGTTAAGTCTATAGATGGATTCCACACGTGGTTACCATGTCTTTACACTGTCAACACAGACCTCCGGGTCCCTGGTCGCACCCCACTTGGCTGACACATATAGCTGCAGCCCTTCTCCATCAGCCTCTCCATATATCTCAAGTGTGTTGATTTTTCCTGGTGATCTTTCCTTTGGAGTTATCATTTGCTGGGGCCCCTGCAGAGCTATTCCTGTTTGGGAATAGCCACCTCACTGCTTGTGAGGAAAGGTGGGGCCTGGTGCCTCCTACTTCTCCATCTGGCCAATGTCTCTCACTGTCAGCTTTATCCTTTATAATATTTGCCCTCTTGTAGGTCTTTGGACTTGCTTTTTTCCCATCTGGAACTTGTGTGTCCTCGGTCACCTCCAGGTTAGCTCTGCCTTCCCTCTAGGAGAGTGGCAACTCTTTGTTCCCCCTGGGGTGGGACGGAGCCCTCCCCGGGCTCCCATTCTCTTGCTTGTCCTGTCACCTTGCATGTTGGTCTGTACAGGTGACAAGGTGGGGCTACCTCTCCTTCACTGCTAGACCTGGTAGCCTGCTGAGTTTCTGGCCCTTGGCTGATATATAACTAACTGTTGAGTGGAAGAATGAATCTTTTTTTTGAGGCAGATATTGATTAGTATTTTTTTTAATCTATAGACATATTTAAGGAGAAATGACATATAATCAATCATTTAATGTTTCTCAAAATCATTTTGTGTCTGGCTGATGAATTTCATGGAATGATTTTTAAAATTCATTTTTAAAGTGATTATTGATTTATATATTTTTTATTCATTCTTTTTAGTTATACATGACAGTAGAGTGTATTTTGACATATTACACATACATGGAGAATAACTTCCCATTCTTGTGGTTGTATATGATGTGGAATTTCACTGGTCATGTGTTCATATATGAACATAGGAAAGTGATGACTGTCTAATTCATTCTACTGCCTTTCCAGTCCTCTCTCCCCTCCCTCCCACCCACTAATCATGGCCCTCCTCCCACCCCTGCCTACTGTGAGTCAGCATCTGCATATCAGAGAGAACACTAGGCCTTTGGTTTGGGGGTATTGGCTTTTTTCAATTAGCATGATAGCCTCCAGTTCCATCCATCAAATCAGATAGGATAAGAGAAATATGAAATCCATTCTGTTTATTAATCTCAGGTTTGAATATTCTGTAACACCTAATTTTTCATATAATCTGTTATTCCTGGCAATTAATATTTTATAGTGACTTGGTCATACACTGGTATGAGCAATTTGGTATGTGCATTTGACAAGCTTCCTCTGGGCCACAGAGAGTCCCATCTGAACAGTCAGGTCAGGAGCTGCCTAGGAACGCACCTGCCTATAGGGGACCAGCCAGACTGTACAGGACCTAAGAAGGAAGAAGTAGTGGTTCCAAAGGGAGTCTTTAAATTGTCCATCTTGCCATAAAGGGACATATTGGGACTGGCCAGTGGTTGCAAGGGCACAGAGGATTACCTTTAAGAATCTTAACACAGAGCCAGGCAGATGAATGGAAGAGCAGGGAATGGAAGAGCCAGAGGCTTCCCAGAAGCTCAGGAGACTGGGGCAGGAAGATGTCGAGTTCAAAGCCAGCCTCAGCAAAAGCGAGGCACTAACCAAGTCAGTGAGACCACATCTCTAAATAAAATACAAACTAGGGCTGAAAATGTGTCTCAGTGGTTATGTGCCCCTGATTTCAAGCACCAGTACCCATAAAGAAGAAGAAGAAGTAGGAGGAGGAGGAGGAGGAAGTCATCAATACAGAGATGTCCTCTGCTGAGACAGGGTCCTCCTCTTTCTCTTTTCAAATCTGCACTTGACCTGTCTTCAGTGCTTTTGTGCTGGGTAAACCAGAGGCTTCGAGGAGATGTGAGAAGATGTCCCCTGTGTGCAGAATGGGAGGCTGCACTTCCTAGACAAATTATGACCCCAGATCTCTACCACTAAAAGGTTCTGGAAGCCTTTCTGAAGGACTTAGAGTGAGAGTGATTCCTGCCTAAAGCAAGTGGGTTGTAGATCTTCCTATAGCCAGCATCAAAGGTGTAAGTGACCATGTGTTATGTGGCCACATTTGGTCAAATGCTTAACTGCTGTTTTGAGAAAACATGAACTAGGTACTACGAAACAGAGATCATTATTGTGACGCTTCCAAAGAAGCTTCTGAGGATCTGTTTACCCTTGATGTCTGAAATACTCCAAATGTGAGGCAGATGAATGGAAGAGCAGGGAAATTCCAGACACCTTCAACTGTTTATGTAGGAGAATCAGCATAAGGTGGAGACTGAGGTAAGGTCCAGCTTGGAAGACCCCAGGCTTCAGGACGGCTAAAGAGCCAGGACTTTAAAACACTAAGGTGTGCATCTGGAAACACTCTTGCTATTTCTGGAGCTCCCTAAGACATGTTGTTTACGTGGAATGCAAGAGGCATCCTCCTTCTTGATCCACAGAATAAAGCAAGGCCTTCTGGAAACCATCCAGAGATGGCTCTGCCCTGAGTTATTTTATTTGCTCCTGGTCACTTGACAGGTCTTCTCCTCTTTAATACTTTGGTGATGAATTGAGTACCTCAAAGTTAGTTGAGGATGGAGAGTTTGTAACTAATTGTTGCCTGTTTTCTCAGCAGGAGAACCTCACCCAAAACTTTAAGGCATAAAGGGAAAATTTTTAATATTCTGTTCCATATAAATATATTCACAGGTTAAAAAGTGTTTTTCAGTTTGTGTTATGACTTCTTACTCGGGTAATATGAGTTCCTCTCTGTGTCATACACACTAGAACACCCAGCTTTGGTCTCAGGTTCTCTGTTGTCAAATGGAGACCAAATCCTGGGATGGACTGTCTGTGGTTAAGAACAAGAGGAAATTTGTTAATATTGTTTTTTTGTGCTTTTTCATATATAGAAGAAATAGAACAAGAGAAAGGTAAGTGACATTTATTTTTGACCTATGCAGTAGTTTGACATATACACAATTGATCTTTGTGATTGTTGCAACAAAACCAAAATCCATTAGCAATTCCTTTAATCACCTAAAAATAATGTTTGGGGACAATTAAACCAATATCGTGGTAATTTGAAAGGTCCGTATTGAGCATTCATAGAAGGTAGACAGTCCTGGCAGGGATGCGGGAAGGCGTGGTGTGGGGCTTCAGCCCTTCCACCTCCCTCGCGCCCCCCAGTGATGACGAATGACTCCTCCCACAGCAGGAGGAGTGAGCCCATGGGTCCTGCTGAGGAGGGGCCAGCCAGGCCAAGTTGCTGAAGAGCAGGGACTGGGAGTGAGAGGCGGTGGTGAGGAAGGAGAGCGCTGGCTGCACTGCTGTCCAGAGTGAGCCAGCGGGTGGCCTGGTCAGAGGAGAGGGACATCAGCCCTGGGACTCTCTTTCCCAAGCCCAGGCAGAGCCAAGCCCAGGCGGCCAGCACGCAGATCTCGTTCCAGGAGAGAATGTTACCTGAACGCTGGCCAAGAATTGAGAGGCCGAACGGATCTGCGCTCAGGTGGTGCTGCGCATGTCACATTTTCTTGAGGGCAGAGAATGCATTATACGGTTAGGTGGGAGGTTTTCTGGAAGAAAGCTAAGAAGGAATCCACTCAGAGACGCTCCAATAAGCAAACAGCCTAAAAGTCAGCCGATTATTTGGTATTCAGTATTTGGTATTAAAATTCACAAATCAGATTTCTTCCTGAGCCATTATACAAATCTAACAGTGCCTGATCTATTGAATAAAAACTGTTTCATTGAAGGAAATAAAATCTGTGTGATTTCTGTGGTTCCTTTTAATTTATTCATCCATTCATTAATGTTGGTTCATATAGGAGATAAATAAGTGGTGATTAGACTTTAATGTGTATTAATGGGATCTGAAATCAGACTGACCTGTTTAAAATTATTTCAGTTCTTAAGATTTCCAAGATCTTGCAGTTTTTTAATCTCACTCAGCCGCATTTTTCATTTGCAATTTACCTATGATAATGCTATTGAGGTGATAATATCATTCACACTCAAGATTAAAATTTTGCATATTTAAATACCTGAACACATATTACAGATAATGTTATTCTTACTACTACCAGAATCATAGCTATTAATTTCCAGAAAAAGCATGATTCTATCTGCTTTACCAAATTCTGAGATCCCATGAAATCAAAATGAATCTATGGCATCTATTTAATCCTCACACAATTATTTCTGTGAAATAATAAATTAGCTTAAAAATTAGTTTAAATAATCATGTAGGCAACAATGTATCCTGGGCCTGAATATTCTCCTCTCACATGCTCACTGCTCTTTCACTGACAGAGCTGGTCTACGGCCCAATATATTCATAAAGTATTTCACTACATTGAGCCTCCCATGACCAGGAATTGTTGACCTGTGCATGGTGATAATGAGTTAAGGGTCATCAGTTAGGTGAATTTGCATTTTCACCCATGTCAGCTAATTTTTTTTCCACTTGTTTGTTTTTCAGCTGCACTCCTGGAGAAATGTGGTAAGTTTTAGTTAGCCATTGCATACTGAAACCCACCATTCTGTTTTAGGAAGATAAATCTCTTGATGTGCTCATGAATATGATGATTTCACCATTATCCAGGAAACGGTCGCGGAAAGGCTGAATTCATGAACCTGGGAGAAGTAGGAATCTAGTCCTTAAATTATGTTGGGTTCTAGAGAGAGAGAGTTTCTTCTTTGTCCACTCCAGTATCCATTGCCCCAAGTCTCTGTAACACTGTTTTGCTCTCCCAAGTCCACACTCCATCCAAATGCAGCCTACCACTGCACACACACACAGCCAAGTGCCCTGCCATTGCTCATCCTAGAGCCACAGAATGGTCATTGTCTCTGGAGGGACTGGGCCTGCTCCACTGCACACAGTGCCACTGCCAAGACTCACAGCCCCACTAGAGGAGACAAGCCATAGGGTCCCAAATGGAAGGGGCTCTGCCTGTTCCTAGGGACTCCGAGCCTCAAAACTTACCAAAAATATCCTGCTTCAGCGTGAGACGGCTGTGTGGGTGCCATGCCCAGGGGTGAGGAACCTGCTCCTGGGCTTGTGCCGCGGCCTGTCGACTCTCCCAAAGGGGGGCTCTCCATGCTGCCAACACATAGAGATTTGTGTGAAAGCAAAGAAGCAAGAACAGCATGGTGGGACTGTTTCAAAGCATCCCACGCTGCTGCCTCCCCTTAGGCACCAGACGAAATGCCACCAGGTTTGCCAGGAGGTGTTGTTCACAATGGTATTTGCAAAGTTGTCCCTGCTTCATCTGACTTTGGAGGGAACTCAGAGGCAGATTCTCTGCCTAGCAAAATCTTCTTCCATAAGGTAAGCTACTAAGTACAGCAGTGCTTCAAATGAGCCTGTGCAAAGAAACCCCTCATTGGATTTAGGATGACTTCAGACACATCCTGTTCTTTAAGCCTTTATTTATTTGTTTGTTTATGTTTCCAATAATTGTGACCAACTCATTCATACAGGGTAAATCAAATGTGGTTTTAATTTAAAATAAAATCAATTGCATTTTTTGGTTTGGGTACCAAGGACTGAACCCAGGGATGCCTAACCACTGAGCCACATCCCCAGTCTTTTCTTTATGGTTTATTTTAAGACAGGCTCTCACCAAGTTTCTTGGGGCCTCCCTAAGTTTCTGAGCCTGGCTTTGAACTTGCTATCCTCTTGCCTCTCCCTCCAAAACCACTGGGATAACAGGTGTGCACCACTGTGCCAGGCTCAAATGCATTTTTAAAAGAATGCAAACAAACTGCCCTTGTATAAGGAAAAGAAAAGCATCATGCATGGAAGAAGAAAAGCTCATAACTATAGTTTATGTTACTTAAATTGGTCATATTGTATTAATCTATTTTATGCTCCTATAATAGAATACCAGAGACTGGTATTTCATATGTACCTTGATTTATTTAAAGCACAGATTTACTTCTTACAATGGCCCAAGGTCATGGCACCAGCATCCTGTGAGGGCCAACTTGCTGCATCATTTCATGGTGGAAGGTGGAAAGGCAGAAGATTTCATGTGCAGCATAGAGAGGGGAAGGTGCCTCGCCCACTCCTTTATCAGGAACTCCCAAGAGAACCAGCCCACACCATGATCATGGCACTAACTCCTTCATGAGGACGGTTCTCCCATTACAGAATTGCCTAGTAATAGTTCTGTCTTCCAACACAGCTGCATAGCAGATTATTTCTTCCACATGCACTTCCAGGGACATTCAGACCACAGCTTTCCATGGTGAAAATTTCTGGTCCCCAACATCTATGTCATTCTCCCATGCAAAATACATTTATTCTGTCTCAATATCCTCAAAGTCCTAATTTTTTCTATCACCAAAGGAAAAGTCTAAGGACCAGAGTCTCATCTGAATCAGACACAGGGAAGAAGACTCCAGGTGTGAGTCACATGGGGACAATTCTTCTCCAGCCCAGAGCCTGTGAAATCAGCAAGGTTCATGATTCCAAATATAAGGAAAGACATGGGACAGGTATACTTTTTTCCAGTTATTATATAAGAGGGAAAAAGGAACAAAGGAGTAACAGATACCAAGCCTAAAACTTCACTGATAAAATAATATCTAGCTGGGCACAGTGGTGCACACCTGTAATCCTAGCAGCTCAGGAGGCTGAGAAAGGAGGGTTGTGAGTTCAAAGTCAGCCTCAGCAACTTAGCAAGGCATTATGCAACTCAGTGAGACCGTGACTAGAAATAAAATAGAAAATAGGGCTGGTAATGTGGCTCTGTGTTTGATTGCCCCTGACTTCAATTTCTGGTACCAAATAATAATAATAATAATAATAAATAACAACAACAACAACATTAAGATTTAAAGCTGGAAGATAACATAATTTCTACTGCAGATTGATGGAGCACATTGATGGGCTTCCTCATGCCATTATCTTCATGTGTCTATTATTGTGCTTTGATTTTCTCTGTCCTACCTCTACCCTGGCTTCTCCTTCCTTCTATTCCCCCTCCAGAATACTTCCTCTTCTACTTTCAGTTCATCTTTTTACATATAAGGCATTAAGGTCTTTTTTTCTCCACATACTCACCACGATGTTTTGCTCTGTCTCGATCACAGCCATTCTAACTGGGGTGAGATGGTTTCTCATGGTGGTATTGACCTGCAGTTACTCCTTGTGGCTAATGATATTGAATGGTTTTTTATTTTGTTTTTTTGTTTTAAAAAACTTGAAAAGGAACTTTGATCATCTACTCTGGAAAGATGCGGGGACCCATGTCCTTAGCCCTGTCTTCAGGGCTGACAAGGACTTTGAGGATTTACAGAAAGGGGACTGAGGTCCAGTGTGAGGAGCTTACACAGCTGGAGGCTTTGCACAGCTGCCAATGCAGGAGGTCTTGGTCAGGTGTGCCCTGCCCATTCTTATCTCAGGCTGGTCCCACAGGGCCTTGTCCAATAAGGAAGTTGCTGTTGCCTGAGCTGGGGAAGCTGAGGTGGACTCTACTCTTCACATGAGGTCCATCCATCATCCCTTTTTCCTGGAATCCAGGGTGACTTTGGAGTAAAGAAGGTTGGTGTAAAATGCAAGCAGAGAGGCCGAGTCTTTAGTCCCCCTTTTAGCCCCCCACAGACATTTACAGGACAAAGTGAAGAATCTTAAGTCCTTGTCACCATCTTTCCTGTCCTCTGCCCATTCTCAGTCCTGAGGGACTGGAGTGTTGGCCAGTCTGGTCAGCAGGTTCCTTGTCCCAGTGCTAAACTTGTCTTTAAACAATAGCTGGAACATAAAAGCAAAAAGGATCAGAAGTTAAGCCTGAAAGTAGAAGCACCATGATAAATTATAAAGCGGAATATAAGTGAGCCAAAGTCTGAAGTTACCAGTTAAATAAGTCATGCAGGGCTTCTCTCTCCTTTTAGATGGTTCCACAAATATGGGCTACTAAAAATATATAGTTGGGATCATATTTTCTTGTCTTTGTCTAAATACAGGGCCCCTGTCCAAGCTATTTGCTCCACCTTCTCTGTGCAGGAGTCTGGTGGAAGGGCTTTGGTGCCAGGCAACCGTCCGTGAGAACCCCTTCTCCGTGACTTGGGGGCTTTACTTAACTTCTGCTAGAGCTTCCACAATTGCACATAGCATCACATTAAAAGGCTTCTGTCTTCCTCTCAAGTCTCCCTGCATCCCTGTTGTCCCACTTCTCATTCCTCCTCTTGTTATTACATTGTTGAACTTCCCTGCTGAGTGTTCAAGACCAAGTAGGTGACGCCTGTGCTGACCCCTCTCCTTCTACTGCTCAGTAAGCTGAGACTTTTCAGGCCTACTCTTAGAAACTTTTGAGAAGCCTCTTGGCCCCTTCAGTCTCTTCCTCTACTAGTTGTGTCATCTGACAGAATGGGTCAAAGTCTTGCTGACCACATGGGGCTTGCCTTGAACTGTTAAGGACATTTCCCTCCCCAAAGACACTCCTCTGCAAAATGTTTGCAGATGGCTTCCTGGCCTCCAGGGTCCTCTTGGTCTCCCTGACTGATAGGGTAGGTGACTCACTCAAGTGGCGAGGCCCTTAGAGAGGGTCCTGGCTGACCTTGTAAAGCAAGACCAAAAATATTTGTTATTTTTCTTAGCCTTTATAATCTCACAGATGAGAAATATAGATAATCTTTACTTGTGTGTCTGCTTTGATCAAAATAAGAAAAAAAATTAAATCCATAATAGAAAAGACTAGGCCACTAGTCATTATTTACAAAAATAAATAATATTCAGGCATTAAACTATGCTTGTTACTTTCATGGAAAATATGAAATAAAGTTTAAAATGAATAGAAAAGATGATGAAGTAGCATTATTGGATGGTCTTTTTTGCTGTTATGAATTAAAATATAATATATAAGTAAAAAGATATTTTAACATTTTGTATCTAACTATTGAAAATGTAATAGAATTGATTCTCTCTCTCTCTCTCTCTCTCTCTCTCTCTCTCTCTCTCTCTCTCTCTTCCCTCCCTCTCCCTCTCCCTCTCTCCCTTTTTCTCTCTAATAATATGAATACATACTAAATAAAAATAATTGCCATGAAGAGCAATGAACCAGTGCATGGCAGTTTCTGACACTAGATCTAAGGAGCAGATTCAGTGACCTCCAGGGCGGACAAGCTCTGGCTCTCTGTGTGCCTCGCATGTGTTCTGGGAAGCCAGCCCATGCAGTCCTGAGCCCAGAGATGCCCTGTGTGGTCTCAGGCAGCCAGTTCCTTCTATCCCTGAGCCCAGAGATATGTTCCACATATCCAGTAATGCCACACAAGTCATATAAAATTAAAGCTAAGGATCAAATGTCTCAGAATTTTGTAAATTAATATCTTTCTACCTGTTTTATTTGTTTTAGATAAAATTAACAAAGAGCTTGGTAAGTCCTGTGTCTCTATCATAAGGTAAATTATAAATGTGTCCTGTGACCACTTAGAACACTTACCTCTTCCTATTTACTGTTGCAGAAGAAAGAAAATTCCTTGGAGAACAGGGTAAGTGAAGCCAGGATTCCCAATTGATGTGCCATGTGCCATTACCTACAACAGCCCTGTCCTTCCCTGTCACCCAGTTAACCCTGAACATCTTCATCAATTGCAGGTCTGAATAAAATCCGAAAATTTGCAGGTAAGTGCAAAGTGATTACTCTGTGGGGAAGACTGACTTTGTGCTTGCAATGTCATCTGCAGTTCCATCAGTTCCCCTGTGAAAAAAGAGAAGTGTTTTCCCTCCCCATCTCTAGCACACATTTGAACTGTCAACATAATCTGATTCTGGGCTTACGTTCTTTCCAATAAGCACCAATTTGCTGACTAGGAAAGGTTTCGTTTTAGAAAAGACCACAGTGCAGTAGCTGTGCAAACAGGGGTAACATGGTGTCACCTGATCTGAAATAACTTTCTAGGTAAGTGAGAAATCAGTCCTCTCTCTGTCCTGACCTCAGCAATTCCACAGCCACAAGACTGTCTAGATCAAGCAGACTGGTGAGACGGGCTGGTTTCCTTTACTCTCTTCTCCTAAAGTCTCAGAGCTCTCATGCCTCTCAGGTTCCCCTGATCAACCTGCACAAACACCACCATTTCTCCTTGTAGAAAAGAGAAGGTGGAGAGGGCCGCCTCTGTGGATCCAGTCCCTGCCACCCCCACCGTGGGTACCCTCTCATCTGTTCGACTGTCAACCCTCCACAAGGAGCTGCCTCTGAACATGCCTTCTCAACTCTCTCCCTTGCCCTCCACTTTGTCCAGAGGCCCCGTTCCTGAAGACAGGCTCTGGTGGGGCCTCCCTCCCTCGGAGTGCTGCCTTTCTGGCTGGGTCCTCTGCCTGCTCATATGCTGCTATCCACCGCCCACCTCCCGCTGCTTGGGCCCTCAGGCACGCTCTGTCTCTCTGCTCTGCATGTAAGGGCCTCCACAGCCACCTCTATCCCTTTGAATCCACCCAGGTGGGTGGGGTAGACCTTGCTTAAATATTGAAGAAATATCCTGAGATCTGTACTGTCGTTATCTATGTCAAGGCCCTAACCATGGTCGTCCCAACCTATCACCAGTTCCTTTGGAACCTGTGATGAAACACCTCACGTCTGTTGTAGAGATGAAATAGTTCAGGGATAGTTCACACTGAGTCAGAACCGTTTTGTGTTTGGTTGTGGAATGGCCTCATGGGAAATAGCATACGGATCCTGTCCTTACTTATGGAAAGAACCTCAAGTGTGACCTGTTTTTGCCTTGTCTTACAATCTGGATGGTTCTAGTGGAAATCCTACCATTAATTCTCCTTCCTTCTGCAGAAGACATAATACTGGATAAAGACACTGCTCACCCTTACCTTGCCGTGTCACCTGATGGAAAGTGTGTGAAATCCGTGACCAAAAAGCAGGACGTGCCGGACAAACCTGAGCGATTTGATACAATGCCAGCGGTGCTGGGTCGGAACCGTTTCTCCAGTGGCAGCCACTACTGGGAGGTGGAAGTAGCAGGGAACAGCAAGTGGACCATCGGGATCTGTGTGGAGTCAGTGAACCGCAAAGGACAGTACATCTCTGCTAAGACCCAGAGCGGGTTCTGGACCCTGTGCCTGAAAGATGGCACGTACAAGGCCCTCTCCGTCTCCCACCACGTTCTCCAGGTCACAGGCCCCTCCTGAGGGTGGGCATTTTTCTGCAGTATAAGGAAGGGTTGATCTCGTTCTACAATGTGACTGAATGTACCATTCTCCACACTTTCAAAAGTGAGTTCACTGAGCCCCTGAGGCCGTACTTCTACCCCGAGCCTGCTGGTGAGAAAAGTACAAATGGCCTTACCATTGTCAAGGTGCCAGCCGCAGACCCCGCTGTCCCTCTCTAGAGCGTAGTGGTTATGTCCTCATGGGTCATAATGACAGTCTGGGTTGCCATTCCCAGAGCAGAGAGCTGCAAGCCACAAGAAGCCAGGCTCCCTGCAGACATTTGGGAAGACTCAGGATGCCTTCAGGTGCTCCGGCTGCTGTCCCTCTCCCCCTCAATGAATGTGCTTCCTTCCATCCCCTTCCCTGCAGAAAGACAAAGCTCTGCCATCCTTCTTAGACTCTGAAAGTGCTTCAAGACTGTCCTTGGTAGGTCACTGTCACATTGCCTAATGTGCTTTACCAGCTGACGGACTGTTTCTGTATGAGCAGGAAGCGGTGAGGTTTCCCAGGCAAGAGACCGACTGTCGTTCACTGTAACAATCGTCACTTTTCTTGAGCAAATACAGCACTGAACGCCACAGAATGGAGTAGAATTGAATTGCCCAGAAGGACACATGCTCTCCAGGCATTTCTGTGCAGCTCTGTGTGTAATCCCAGGGCCTTTAGGTCGCATGATCATGCACTCAGATGCAGGCCATGATGTCTGCCTCCAGCCGAAACCCTTCAGCATCTGCTGTGTTTGTTGCCTGTCAGAAAAGACACAAAGCCTTGCTCACAGAAGAACTAGAAATAACAGAAAATGAGTTTAGAACAACTCAAACTTGCACACTTTGTTGACTGAAGAATCCATTTGAAGAAACATTTGGTTATTTCTCATAATGTTAAATGTGTTAAATTATTACTATAATCAGTAATTTCACTGCTGGGTGTTATTCTAGAGCAATAGACACTATGAACCAAAGATCTTCAAGAATGTTCTTAGCAGCTATATTACAAACAACTGAAAACTAGAAATTAATGTCCTACATGAGAATCTGTAAGTAAACTTAAATCCATTCATAGCCCAAAATAGTGTTTGGAACTGAAAAAAAAAATGAGAGACTAAAATATGCAATATGTAGATGATTCCCAGATATATTTTGCTAATCAAAAAAAGGCAGACAGAAAAAAATGTGCACATCTCTATCTGTATAAAGTTCTTCAGCAGGTAAAATAAATATCTTGTAAAAAAATAAGTAGATGGTTTTGGAGGTGACTGAGTGGGAAGGGGCAGAACTTGAGTTTCTTCGTTTCACTGTGTTTTCACTGTTTTCAGTGTGGTCAGAAGTGATCCTTGCTCCTGTTATTGGTACCCTTGCATAGATCTTCCTCAGTGAGTAACAGCCATGCTCCCAGAATCCAGTGCAGTCAGTGTTAAGTAGCATCCCAAGTCACATCCTGCAGTGGACAGCAGGTGTCCTCTTGGCCTGCTGGATAACTCACTGTGAAACATGATAGCGCCAGGCCGTGAGGGCATTCAAGCAGTTCTGTGGAGAGGCCCGTGGAGGGAATTTTAGGCCTCCTGCTCATATCCATGTGGATGAACCAATTTGAAGTGGACAGTCTGGCCCCTGTAAAACCAGCAGCAACTAGAACTTCACAAGAGATTAAGAGCCACAGCTACTCAACCATCCTCAAATTCCTGAAATACAGAAATGACAAAAATCTTGTATGAGAAACTCTCTCTGTTAATGGACTAAACTTTAGGATGATTTATAATTCTGCAATCTATACAACTATTAATTGAAGAAAAATGAATTTTAAATTATAATAAAGAATCCTTTTAGCAGGTTTGCTTTGCAGTGTCATGGCTTAGCCCATTTACACACACACACACACACATACACACACATATAAACATATATACATATATATTTATGGCTTACTTTAATGCCTTTACTTTAAATAAAAATGAATAAATAAGAATGAAGCAAAATGGCAACTGAAACTCCAAGCCGAACAGATATCCATTATTTTGGTCAGTTTTTCATCACTGTAAGCAAAAGACCTGAGAACAATGTAAAGGAGAAAAAGTTTATGTGGCTCTCATGGGTTTCAGAGGTTCGGTCCATGTTCAGAGGACTCCGTAGGTCTGGGCCTGTGGAGAGGTAAGCGTCATGGCAGATGGGCACAGCAGAGGAAATCAGCTCAGGACATGACAGCCTGGAAGCAGGCGCACGTGCGCGTGTGCACACTCACACACACACACACACACACACACATACAGCGCTTCCCACCAGGGCTGAAGTATAGATCCACTGCTTAGGTGAGGCTCTCTAACCTAATCATTCCAACTCTGAACGTTCTTGCATTGTATCACACATGAGTTTTGGGAGAACACCACATATTCAACCCATAACATTCATGCACCAAACTATCTTCAAAAGAGCTAAAAAGAAAACAAGTGAGAGAAGGTGGTGCTCTTTTTTAGTATAACAGAAATACTTCTTGAAGTGGGCAGGAAGGAACGAGTTGCCCAAGTCACCCGCCCTAACTCCTAGAAGCCCAGCATGGGGAGAGTTGCCTCCCCTTTCAGGGAGGAAGAGAGAATAAAGTTTGGGGCTTAGACATGAAACCCAGGCCCAGGCCCACTACAGTAACACCCTGTATAGGCAAGGCTCCACCCCTTCTGACAGGCCATTCCCATGGACTTAGCCTGGAACTTCACTAGGCCAGGCAGCTGAAGGCCTGCACTCCTCCACCAACCTCAGAGGCTGACCTGGGAGCAAGACTCCACTCAGTGATCAGCTAGGCATGAAAGACAGCAAAAGCTTTGTCTAAGATTCTAGTGCCAGCCCTGTCTCAGTGAGACAAAGCACAGAAGGCCCTGTAAACAGGCCACAGTGCAGATGGAGCCTCTAGACCCATTTAAGACCAAGATCTACTGTTATCGTTTAGCTATGAGCTATCTCCAGAAAGGTCATGTGTCAGAAGATGCAAGAAAGTTTGGAGGAGAGATGATAGGGTTATGAGGGTCTTAACCTAATCAGTGCATTAATCCTCTTGAATGGATTAACTGGGTGGTGACTATAGGCAGGAAGGTGTGGCTGGAGGAGGAAGGTCACTGCCTTTGGGGTTTATATTTTGTCTCTGCTTCCTGAAACCCATGTTCTGGCTTGCTTTCCTGTGACACTCTTCTGCCCTGATGTTCTGCTCATCTTGCATACAGAGCAATGGAGCTGGCTGTCTATGGACCGAGACCTCTGAAACTGTAAGGGTCAAACTTTCCTCCTCTAAAAAGTTCTTGTCAGGTCTTTTGGTCACAGCAGCCAAAGAGCACATGCCACTTGAGCACTACTGGCACAGACTTGTTAGGGTCTGTAAACAAGTCAGGATGGCACCTGGCATATTGCCAGAGGGAGTAGTTTGTGAAGTAACGCCTGCGAGCCATTGAGTGTGGAGATTCCTTATTGATTGACTGCTGTATCTAGTTTATGTTAATTAAGATAAGCTGTGTGGAATGTATAAATACCTCTGTGGTCCTACAATTAACGGCTCCCATTCCTGCTGTATCAATCTACACAAGTTGCTCATCACCCCACCCCCACCCCCGGTTATTTTGCTGCAGTCGGACTGCGGCACAGACTCACAGTTCAGTGTGCATTGCTCCCAGCCTCAGAGGGGGCCCAGGTCATACCACCTCCTCCTAAGTCTGTGCAGGCCTCTGTGGCTGGGAGACTTGGCATATCCCAGTTAAGCACCAGTTTAGATGGCCGAGGCCAACCTTGGGCAATGCAGATCTCAACAGATAACTGCTCAGACATAGGACTCTAGAGTCACTCTGGCACAAGGTGGGAACTGTGGGATGGACTCGTGTGTGAGCCTGCACCACATCAGCTTCAGTGTGGGCTTCACCACACTCCTGAGACTTCACAAGTCATTGCCAATCTGAGAGGCAGATGTGACCTAGCTCAGCATCCGCTGGGTAGCCAAGTGACTGCCTTCACCAACATTATCCTGACCTCAGGCAGCAGGTGGGAGAAGACCCATCTTCTGGGTAACAGGAAAGTGTGGTAAGTGCAAGACTTTGCCCTGGAACTCAGTGTTGCCCAGGTGAAAACTAATACTGGGGAGGTCCTAAGTGCCTCCACACCCAGGCTTGCCTATCAATGGAGACTGTGGAACAGCCCCAGTTTCAGGAAAGACAGGCAACTCCAGTCTATAGACATGGTTTCAGCCAACAGCACCTGTGCTGTGTTGCTATGGTCTTGGGTCACAAGTCTGCCTCAGCAAGAGGTAGCCAATAGCAGTGTGAGGTTTCTTTTTTTTTTCCTACCCCGATGTTGTGCTGCTTTTGGTGGGCTGTGTGCAAAGAATGTAACATAGATTGACGGATTGACAGAATTGTTGGCCACAGGCTGGTATCTGTGGATGAAGCATCCGAGTCTCTCCTGGCCCCAGGGAAAGACTTGTGGATACAGACTACTCTTTCTAGGTACTTCCCTATTTCTTTTGAACAATCCACCACCAGTGTGCATTTGGGAAAACCCAGGGCTTGGATTTATCTCTACTATTGAAATAGTGGCAACAGACCAACAACAGACCACCATAAAATCTGGACCTGAGTGCCAAACAGGGCTGAAACAATGGAAGTGACTACAGTCTCAGAGAAAATAGATAGCCTGGTCAGAATTTTTATAAACAAGGCAAAATCAAAGCCAAATTAGGAGACTGAAATAAATGCCAAAATTCTTTAACACACAAACAATAAGCAAGGAATAAACATACTACTGGAGACAATCACCAAACCACAAAGGTCAGACCGTAAGAGAGACAGAGTGAGTCAGCTTTGTATTGCTGTGATCAAAACAGCTAACAAGAAGAAGATAGAGGAGGAAAAGCTTGTTTTAGCTCACAGTTCCAGAGGTTTAGTCTACAGTCAGCCATGTCCATTGCTCTGGGTCCAAAGTAAGTCAG